AGGGGAACACACGGGGAACACAGGTGACACTGATAATCATAACGAGACAGGGCGGGGTGAACTGAACATGACATGTACAGGCGTGAGAGTCACAAAGTAAACAGGAAGTGCACAGAGGTTCAGACAGGAGGAGAGAGAGCATGGGGAAAACACAGACATAACGGGCTGGAGAAACATGAAACCACCACAAAGGGAGACGAGGGCTCATAAATACACAGAGGGGCACACAGGGGGTAAAAGCCATGAAGGGAAAACACTTAGGGAACAACACAACAGGGCAACTCAGAAAACATGGCCTAAATAAGGAACAAAATACAAACATACAAGAAAACCAAGAACACTGGGCCAACATGGCCCAGGACCATGACAAAATTGGTCCACTGGAGTGAGTGGAGATGACACGATCCTTACCCCTTGAGAACTCTGGCTGTGACCAACTGCCATATATGTCTCTGTAAGGGGCTAAGCACTCCTCTTGCAAAATAATTTATAAGCTCAAAACCTTAAATCATATTCATCTAGTTTAAAATCCCTCAGTATCCCAAGAAGTTACTCTACATACCCAATGTTTGTGTGTTCCCTGATTTTGAAAATGTGGTCACGATATACTGATGTAAAAAGGTCGTTTCTGCTTCCTTGATGAAAAGTCCTTGATAAAAATATGAGGGAACTACAGGTAGGTCTATATAGATTTGGACACTGACATGAGTTTTGGGTTGTTGTTTTTTTATGTGAAACATATTCAAATTAAAGTTATATAATGGGCATAATGTGTTGGCTCTCAGCTTTCATTTGAGGGTATCCATGTTCAAATTGAGTGAAAGGTTTAGGAGTTTCAATTCCTTATCATGTGCCGCCCACTTTTACAAGTGACCAAAAGTAATTGGACAAAGGCTATTTCATTGTCAGGCGTGAGAAATTCCTTCACTATGTCACTATTAATTAGGCAGATAAAAGGCCTGGAGTTGATTTGAGTTCGGTGGTTGCATTTTGAAGATTCTGCTGTGAAAAAACAACATGCAGTCAAAGGAGCTCTCCAAGCTGCGAAAACAGAAAAAAAAAACATCTGAGAAATTGCTACAATATTAGGAGTGGCATAATGTAGTTTGGTTCATTGTGACAAAGAAAGAAAGCACTGGTGAACTCAGCAATGCAAAAGACCTGAACGTCCACAGAAGACAACAGTGGTTGATTATCGCAGAATCATTTCCATGAGAAACCAATACACAACAGCCAGCCAAGTAAGCAATACTTTCCAGGAGGTAGGCGTATCACTACCCAAGTCTACCATAAAGAGAAGACTGCATAAAAGTAAGGTTCACTGCAAGGTGCAAGCCTCTCATAAGCTTCAAGAATAGAAAGGCTAGATTGTACTTCGTTAAAACATCTAAGAAAAAAAAGTTCATTAAAGCAAAGGCGTAGAATATTCTTGAATCGCCAAGTCAGTCACCTGATCTTAACCCAATTGGCATGCGTTTCACTTGTTGAAGACCAAACTTCAGACAGAAAGCCCCATAAACAAACACCAACTGAAAGCTGCTGCAGTAAAGGCCTGGCAGAGCATGGGAAACCCACAAT